GCAACATCACAGTATGAGTGCCTACAAATCAATCTTCTCATTAGCAGTACATAACTTGGACAAAGGTTATTAAATCATCATGTCTGAGCGTCCCGTTGATGTGAAGAACTGCTCTGAGTCACTGAGCTATCACAGTAAAAGTACAAATGTGTCATTACTGAGCTAAGCCCTGTAATAAAACTCCTGGTAGCTCAGCTGAAAGCTGGATCTCTAGTAGAGCTTCAAGTCTCCAGTGACACTGTCGATCAGATCGGCCAGGCCCGGGCCAATGCCCAGCACGGTGCGTGAGCCCGGTGCGATCTGTGTCCTTCCTGCATCCTGGATCAAACTAACGGGAAGTCCCACTTCCTTGGCGCGGCCTAGCAGATCAATCAGGGTGTCCTCGTCAGGCGCCTTCACCACCACTTTGGGCTGGCCGCAGTATTCCCACTGTCTGAGCAGCTCAGGGTTCCTGCGTTGGACCTGCTTGTAAGCCGACACAGCAGCATGGGAACACTGGGCAGCAACTTTCCCTTTGCCCATCTTTAGGTCGTTCCTGACCACCAGAATCATTTTGAACTCGCCTCCTTCTCCCATCACACTTGCTTCTCCAGAGCCATTCCCTTTCAACAGACTTTTGGATGTTGCACCAAAGCGGGCCCCGAGGCGCCAACCAAGAAGGAGCCCACAGCCGAGGCCAGCTGCTACACCCAAGACCAACGGGCCATATGACAAGTCCATACTTTAAACCTGGAAAAATCAGAAACAGGTTAGGGCTACACACACACACACACACACACACACACACAAACAGGAAATACACTGTAACCGCTCCAGAGGAGGTCTCTGAATAAATAAGTCTTCCCATCTTAACATAAAAAATGTCCATATTCAAATTTCCATTTTGCGCTGTAATTCGGGAACTTTGCTTCAAAGTGGGTTTTTCTGTCTCACTGGTTCACGTGCTGTTCACGTGCTACACTCGCTAACTCCTGGTTACAAACACGTTTGAAAAGCAGGACTTCAGAGTGACACGAACAGACGGCAGAAGAAAGGAGGAAACAGCAGAATCACACCGGTCACATTTCATACCTACTGCTCGGCAAGAAGAAGCGTCTTCTGCCTCACTTCCCGTCGCTTGGTGATGACGTCACACAACAGCTGTTTCGTCTTTGTGAACGATGCTCCGAATTTGCATGAAATGTACCAGCTTTATCCATCGTAATCTCGTTTAAACTATACTCTGTACCTATTCAATCTCTTTGTTATATTTCATTTATTAGTAATTTTTATTAAAAAAATTTATTTTAACTACCGTAACCAAACATTTCCCCAGGTATTTCTTATCTAGTCTGAAGTAAACTTGTGCTGCTTCTTTAATCAATAACCGAAAAAATCACGAAAACCAATTTTAAAAAAAACATACTCCGGCATGTTCTTCAGAAACACATCCGCTGACGTCGTTGAGCCAACAGGAAGCGGTTTCGTTTGCACAGGTTTTTGTTTTTGTTTTGTTTTTTTAATTTATTGAGCAATTGAAAATACAAACGCTCAAAGAGGATAACAGTGACAATAATACAAATGACAGCGAACAGTACAAAAGTACAAGACATATAGAATGAGAGGAATTATGAATAATAGAAAAAAATACAATTTAAAAACAAAACAGAAAAGATTCATATGGCAGGCATTTCAATTTTAAAGGAGAGCAATGAAAAAATAAGATAAGTCAAAATTTAGAATAGCAGGAGACCCTGATAAATATTTTTGGCATATTTGCTCTTAGTCTTTTTAAGCAAAGAAAAAAATAACTTTAAATCATTAATAAAACAAAGAAGGCTTCGAGTTCCTCGATTTAGCACAACGGATATGATTTTTACCCATGATGATGTTAATAATGTCTGAGACACCCAAAGATGATCCATATAAGAAATAATATGACAGTTCAAATGGTTCAAGATTCAAAGATGTGTTTGTAAATGTGTGTAAAAGTGTTTATCGTCATGTGTACAGAAGAAATAGAATTTCTCTGTGCAATGAAATTCTTCCTCTGCTGTCCAAACACAAACGCCAAGTTAGGTTGAAGGAACAAGATAAATAAAGATAAAAATAACGAAAGATAAATAAATAAGTACAAAAATAAGTAAGTGAAGACAAGTGAGGTATACAGATGTCGATGGATGTACAGGAGGAGGAGCTTAATGTGCAAAAATCCAATTTGTTATGTCATCACCAAAAACATTGTGTGATAGTTTGCACAGGTCTTTGATTCAATGACGCCACACAGATGAGGGAGGAAGCACACCATGAAACATACCCAACTGAAGGGTGTGTCACAGATAATACTTTGTAAATATTTGATATTTTATTAAAGACTGAAATCACCAAATGTTCTCATGTGTTCCTCAGAAATAACCAGTGTTGGGGAGTAACGGAATACATGTACCGCCGTTACGTATTTAAAATACAAAATATGAGTAACTGTATTCCGTTACAGTTACCGTAATACGTAGTACAACAGTGAAACATTGGTTGTATTTAAACTCGTGGCTCTGATCTGTAGCCTTAAATTCAGTTACATGAATCTATCCAATTGTCTTTATTTATTTGGCACTTTTCTAAACTCACATT